GAGCCACGGTTTAGGGTTTGGGGTTTTGAGGGTTTTTAAGGTTGTTAGGGTTTTTAGGTTTTTTTTTTGTTTTTATGTTTTTTAGGTTTTAGGGCCTAGGGTTTAGAGTCCGCGCCGGGGCAGGTACAGGTGGAGCTCGCGCTCCAGTCTTTGAGTATTAGCCTGCCCCACCAGGCACGATCCACCTAAACCCTAAACCCTAAACCCTAAACCCTAAACCCTAAACCCTAAACCCTAAACCCTAAACCCTAGTTTCACGTGTGCTTCATAAGGTTTCTGTAGGGCTTTGGGGCTTAGGGTGTTATTGGAAAGGGAGCTGGGACTAAGTAGGTAGGGTGATAAGTGCAGCAACTATGTTCATAGCTGCCTAGTGCCCCAACTGCGGTATTTGTAACCTTACCCACTGCGTCTCCTGGTCCTGCAAGAACGGTTCGGGAAAACGGATCTGAGTCTGGGGAAGAGGATCAGAAGACAAGGTTCACGGATTAGGGAAGAGCGTTTGGGAAAGGGTCGACGGGGTTGTCGCTTCAGAGGGTAGCTGAAACTACCACGGCCTGCATGTGAGTGGTTGTCAAAATTAGGGTCCCTTTTTGGGTCCTTATTATAATACGGCACCTAATATTTAGGGTACCCAAAAAGGGACCATAATTTTGACAACCACCCATGTTGATAGGGTCGGACATAGACCGTACTACTACGAAGCTATATCTTTGAGGCCGGGCTCAGGGTTCGGTTTGGGGTTCAGGGCTTGTGGTACAGCTTTTAGGGTGTAGCCCATACTTGAGGATTCGGGTTGAGACTAAAGTTGAGACTAAAGTGATGTTTGGGGACAAGTTTGGGTTTCCACTCAGATACCAACCAGTGTGGTGACCCTAAACCCTAAACCCTAAACCTTCAACCGAAAACCCTAAACCCTAAACCCTAAACCCTAAACCCTAAACCCTAAACCCTAAACCCTAAACCCTAAACCCTTTCTTACCTTCGGAGCAACCGGATGAGGGACGTGATGGCTCGAGCCGGCGACTCCATGCGCTTCGAGACTTTTAGGTTTCGTGCCGAAAGGTGGAAGCCTCTTTAAAACACGGGGGCTTAGGGGTTTAGGGGTTTAGGGGTTCAGGGGTTCAGGGGTTTAGGGGCTTAGGGGTTCAGGGGTTTAGGGGTTTAGGGGTTTAGGGGTTTAGGGGTTTGCGGTTTAGGGTCTATTAATGCAATGAACCCCACAATCCGACAGTGTCAAACGTAAAGCATCGTAAAACCCAAGTCCCAATGTTGGCTGACACGAAGACACGAAGCACATCTTGAATGTGGGGTCCATCCGTCCATTCAGGAACCCATCCCAAAGATCTTGTTGCGACCCGTTTAAACTGAACTACGCTTGGCTCTGACGGTGGCATTCGAGCAAAGCTTTGTGCTACAAAGCGAGTTCCATGAGGAACCGGAGCCTTTGTTCTTCAACGCCGACAACCTGCCCAGGTGGCACCAATTACCAGGTGAAAAGGTCCGAGCTCAAGTTGCATTCAAGAACATGAGGTTGCCTCCGTGCAGCTTTTCTGAGAAGAAGATCCAGCACATCATCGCCACGCAGGTCGGCGAGAAGGACGAAGAGAAGAGGCTCCGGAGGCCTGGAAGACACGCGTTACTGGTGCAATATCAAGGGAACACACACCGAGTCGCCGGACTACCGGTGGCTTGGGAGCAGCCTGTAAGCCGTGCTTGGCCGTGACTGGTCTTGAAGAGCATGTTGATTGGAGCAGCCCGGGACAATCTGCCCCGAATACAGGGGCCTCAACAGTTAGAATAGGGTTTTGGGGCCCATTATACTATAACTATCATAAGAAACCCCCAAAATAGTTTTGCTACTTATGTAGGCTTCTACATTACAGATCCGCCTGCCGCTTCAATTGGACCCATGCCTAGGGTTCCATGCCCGAATCATAGTTCAAAACCTCAAACCCGACACCAGCAAAGGGCAGCGCAACCTCCAGATTCCCGGTTCGACCCCTCCCAAAAGCAATCTGAACCTATAACCCTCAGCCCTAGATTGATCCTTTTGTTCTCCTCTTCAGTAGATTCCTACCAGGAACGCTCCAAGCGATAAGTCTTAATCCGGAGGTCCCACACCCACAATCCTACATCACCCCCCCCCCCCCCCCCGTATACAGCCTTGAAAAGCCTTCTAAGACCCCTTAGAACCGCCCTTCTCGAGCCCGAACCTTTAAATCCTGAGCTCGCCAACTCAACCCTAAACCTTGGGTACTGCCNNTATTCTGGATATATTAGGCCCTTAATAGTAGCCTTATTATAGACTGTTACCGTATGGGGGCAGTACCCAACCTAAACCGACAAAAGAATCCAAACCCTAAACCCTAAACCACCCCCCACCCAAGCAATGCGCAACCCCCAACCCTAAACCCGAACCCAAAGAACCCCAAAGCCCTAAACCTCGCCAAAAAAAATCCAAAGCCCGAAGCCCTAAGCCCTAAACCCTAAACCCTAAACCCTAAGCCCTAAACCCCAAGCCCTAAACCCTAAACCCTAAACCCTAAACCCTAAACCCTAAACCAAGCAATCCTTCAACGGAGCGAGGCCTGCGCGGCTGTCGCTTTCCGGGTCTTTGACTACGACCTGCTCGGGGCGCCCAGCAGATGGGTTTAGGGTTTAGGGTTTAGGGTTTAGGGTCTAAGGAAAATGGGTAGCCCTCTAAAATCGGGTCCCTTTTAAGGGTCCTTTTTATAGGGGTGCCGTGCTTTGTGGGGGGCCCAAAAAGGGACGCTAATTTCGAGAACTACCCAGATATATCTACGTATTTACGCACATATAAGCTTCATGAAACCAACCCTTTTTTCAATTTGCATATATATATATATACTTACACATCTTATGCACGCATGTTCATTTTTTTGTTCTGCTAACTTCTTTGGCTTGTTGTGATTTTTTAGTTTACTCCAGGGGTGGTTTCAGTAGGGTGTTAAGTAGCTGTTACCGGCTCGTAGGGCTTAGAGGTTTGGCCTTACACTCGGGTTTGGGTCTGGGCTTTAGGGGCAGCGGGAGCACCTAGAAAGGCGTTTCGTGGCACGGGGTTGTATAACCTCGACTACGCCGCTTCGGCCTCAACCCTAAACCCACCCTGAACCCTAAACCCTAAACTAAACCCTAAACCCTAAACCCTAAACCCTAGACCCTACCGTAAAGTTCCTAAACCCTACACCCTTGGGTCTATCGCTTGTTTGGCTGCCTAGTCCCAAAGAGTCCAGGAACTCAGAGATTCCTTGGTTTGTGTTGGGATCCGGTTTAGGATTTCGGGCTGAACTAGGATTCGGGCATGGAGCCCTAGGCATCCGTCCAATTGAAGCTGCAGGCGGATGTGTAATTAGGGGATTAGGGTGTAGGGCTTAGGGTTTAGGGGCTTGGGGGTTTAGGTTTTAGGGATTTAGGGTTTAGTGTAGGGGCCTACATAATCACCAATACTATTTTGGGGGCTCCTTATTTGTAGTTAGAGCATAATGGGCCCCAAAACCCTATTCTAGCTATTAAGGCCCCTATATTCGGGTTTAGGGCCCAGGCTCCATTTAGGGGGGCCACGGTTGAAAGTTACACCCTAAACCCTAAACTCTAACTGAGCATTCCAGAGTCGGGCGCCCTGTTGCAGAATTACCGGGGCGTTAAGAAATAGAGCGGGGTTTTGGGGTATACAATAATACTAGGGGCCCATGGTTTCAACCTTAGAATAACATATTCATCTCAACGAAGCCTGAGGAATAACATTGGGTAATTATTTAGGCTTCTGTATTGGAGAGCCCTGGGTTGCAAAATGATGGGCTTCCAACCCCAACCTCATGAGTGCTTTTTAGGAGAACCGATGGTCCAAACCATTGCAAGCACAGACAAAGATGCATAGTACATAACCCTAAACCCTAAACCCTAAACCCTAAACCCTAAACCCTAAACCCTAAACCCTGCATAGTGCTCCGTTGCCGGCGCTTTTGTCCACAGAGATCCTTTGGAGCCGAGAGTTGGACCTCACAGGAAAGGCACCTTCTGCCTTGTAGCACTGGCAGAAACTGAGGTCCATGTGGGTAGTTCTCTACTTTGGGTCCCTTTTAGGTCCCCAATATGTGTCCGGCACCCTTATAACAAAGGATCCCTACAAGGGACCCCAATTTAGAGAACCACCCATTTTGTCAGGAACTTTTGGAGTCGAATGTTAGATGGCGAAAGTCTAAAGGCCCCGCATCCAAACTTTGAGCCCCAAACCGTGACATCCGAACCCCTGAACACCTGAACTCTAAAACTTGGTCTTGCGTAACATCCGGCTGTACCAAGCAAGAGCTTCCACAAATGCGCTCCCAACTGGAACTAGACCCCAAATGACCATCCGTGTTGTGGATTTTTGGGACCTGCTTCCCGGCCTCATAGGTTATAGACTTTATTTAGGGTTTAGGGTTTAGGGTTTAGGGTTTAGGGATAAACTTTATAGTGCATACATTCCTGAGCTCTACCATGACCCCGCCAGGAGGGATCCATGGCAAGTTCCATCTTAGGAGTGCGCATGATCTTACGCTAAGGCTGCTCATGCCAATGTCTCGAGTAGATTATGTTTGCCATCAGCTTTCTGATAGGGAGATGACAACGAGAAGGTGAGTCTTAGACTTCTTCCGGGTGCGGCAGAGCCATGCCCACCGCCCACGCCTCCAGGAACGAAGGTGTGGAGCTAGCTCTGAGACGTGGCAATGAGCAAGCCACACAGATGCTGGTCCAAGCCCCAGGTGACGGGGCCGTTGCTCGGCCCTCGAGAAGAAGAAGCACTTTGGCAGACATGATGAAGGATTTGGAGGATCTGGAACAGCGACCGCGATGGCGTGGGCGAGCAAAGGTGGCGCTGGTCTTCTACACCCTAGCTCGTATCATTTTTAACCTTCCATTCACAGAGAGAGAAGTCTGGGATCCGATTGAGGATGGGTATCAGAAGACTTCAGAGAAACATGTCAGTTTGCATGTGGTTTGCGATGCTATTTGTCGGCCCCTCGTGACTGGCTTTGGGCTCTACATGTTTGTGCACAGGCTTGACCGGTTCTCCTGGAGCAACCAGCTGCAGCTTCTCAGCTTCATTACGATGTGTTGCCTGGCGCTCCCCCTGTGTGACGAGAGCGTATATCACCTGTTGATTATGTTGGAGCGGTTTGGCCTGGCGGCGAACCTGTCAATGCTTTGCTGGGAGGTCCTTTGCAATGTGCTGCAAGTGCAGATGACCATCCTCAAGCTACGAGCTCTCCGCTGGCATCGGACAGCCCAGTGGTGTGGAGTTCTCACAACACTTGGCATTTGTTCGCTTGCTGTGATAATGCTGATTCTCATCCTCCAGAGGTTCTTCTTTTTCATGGCTGCATGCGTACTCACTTGTTTCTGCTGCTGCTTCACAGTCTTGGCCATCCAGTGTTGGGCACTATGCCATGCAGCGAGCAGAGCCATGGTGCAGGCAACAGGTAATGATCTCATGTGGTGGACGGCATGCCTCCTGTATGCAAATGCTTGCCTAGTCCCCCTAGGCCCTGCTTTGAGTTTTGTCGGCCTGTTCGCGTTCCTGCGGCAGTGGGTTTTGCCGCCCACACTTTTGACTCTTGATGTGACTTTCCAAGTCTTCAATGTGCTCTTGCTCAGCGGCATAGTGGGCACCATGCCGATGAATCTGGAGACTTTGCAGAGGCTTGCAGAGCTGTCAGGGTTGGGTTTGGCTTCCGCACGTGTTGCCTTTCCAGGGCACATCAACCAGAGTGCGGCGGACTGCGTGGTATCCTTCCCGGGCAAGTACAGTAACCTCTGGGACAAGGCAGTTTCAAGCGTTTCTCAGGAGGACACCTTCTCACTTGCTTGTGTCTTCTTGACAGACACAGCTTCTGGCTTGGGCCGACATGCAAACTGCCCAGAGACCCCTGGCAAGTGCTGGTGCCGTCAAATATATGGCCCGGTACCCGCCGCTACGTACCTCAGTGTCGTGGAAATCAGTGCCGACGAGTCCCAAAACCACGACCAGACGCTTGCTTTCAAAAGAGCAGATGCCCAAGCGATGGGCCAACGCCTGCTGATAAAGCAGCATCAAGGAGACATAGAGTGGGAGCAAGAGCTTGCAGAGGCTTTGCAAGATGCCGAAATCCGCTGCATCGAGAATCAATACAGGGCCCCCTGGGGGTGTCAATGGTTTGAAGAATGGAAGCGGAACGTGGACCGGGCGGCCGAGTTGCACCAAACACTCCACGTCTTCTACTTTGAGGACAGCAAGGGCATGGGCAAAATGCCTTGGGAGCTGCTCACCAACGAGGGTGCGAGGCATGAAGCTCGAAAGAATAGCGGGCTCGGGGCTTCGCAGACTGCGGAGGTAGCGTACCTCGACAAGATTGGCTTAAGCTATGTGGAGCACGACATCATGGAGTTCGAGGCCTTCCTTGCCTCTCGCATGTAGCAGTTGGCAGTCAAACAGTACGCGCGTGGCCTAGTTTGCTTCTTGTTCACCAGCTCGGGCCCTTGAAGAGCCTGCACAGTGAGAGGCTGTAGGCCTGTTTAGACTTGACATAACAGCATGCAGTGGCTGCTGCATGCGCAACTTGACCATTCTCCAAGCAGCCTGATTTTGGGCGACGATTTAACGTTGTTCTTCGATGAGTCATGCTGTTGTCGATACATGTGTGTTTGTGTTGGTACCCGTGATTCAGGAGCTTGTTCAGGTCGACAGTATGAGTTGCAGCCCAGGCCCAGATTGAATCAGGTGTCACCAACAAACCGAGTCTGCAAAGCACAAACTCCTTTTCTTCGGAAGCTGAACCCTAAACTCCGAGCCCTGAAGCCCCGAGAAGCTAAAAGTCGTGCTGCACATGTTCTGTACAGTGATTCACAGTGATGAACACGAACCACGGCTTGGTCTAAGACCCCACGTACGCTTCGTGATGACAGACTCGTTTAGGGTACTTACATGTACTTATGATCGGATGCACCAATGTAGACTGTACCAAAGCTTCCGACCCCGTTACACCATAAACCCCATGTGCTACCAGGAGAACCCTGGCCCCGAGTACTTGGGCCAGGATAGATGTGCACCTGTACGTAAGATCCACCTGAAGTTCAGTTGCAACCTACTTACTAATCTTGCACGTGTAGCTGCTTCAATGAGTGAGCCTTATGACGACTTCTACGGAACCAGATCTTTGCGTTGCAACAACTCCTGAACCCCAGCCTGACACAGCCATGTACCTCCGCGACAGACGTCCATAGAGCCCTGGAACCCCGATAAACCCTAGGCCCTAGACCCTATACCCTATTTTTCAATCCTCTAAATCCTATGACCCTCATATTTCTCCGAAATCCTAGAAACCCTGAAAGCCTCATAAACCCTACCAAGCCCATAAAGCTTATAAAGCCCATAAGCCGCAGCAGAAAAGCACACATAAGAGTTCGGAAACGGCATTCGCTGCGCTCAAAGACTTTGAGAAGTCCTGCTGCCATGCACCTGTGGTGCAAAACCAAGTCCGGCAGCATGAAGGGTGGCCACGCGAACATTAGGGTTTGGGGTTTTAGGGGTTTTTAGGGTTTAGGGTTTAGGGCAACAGCGGAATCGGCAAGGCAAAGATTTGGTCACTTGCGCAGGAATCACAGCCAGGCAATGTTCATCAAACGAGCTGCGCAAGTGCCCGGTGCACAGAAGCCCTCCGCATGTCACTAAGGAGTGGAAGCATCGATTTTCTGGAGTTTCTGAACATGATGACCATGGCCCCAGCCTCAAGGGGCTTGTGCTTTAGGTTTTGGGGGCTTTTCGTTTTTTGGAATTTCGGGGCTTGGGGCATCGTCTGCACCAGATGGCTTGACCTGCTTGGAATATCAGGGAACTTGGTAAGTTGAGGTTATAGGTATTTCAATTGTGTTATAAACAGTTATAAGTATACTGACCTTATCTATAACACTATAACCCTCTAAGTAGGGGGTATGAGCTCTCTAGCTGGTTCTGGTCTAGTGTTCAGGGTTTCAGGGCCGCGCTCGCCAGCAACAGGATTCGAACCGAGACCGGCCCTAAACCCTAAACCCTAAACCCTAAACCCTAAATCACAGATGGTATCGACATGCATTCAAAACAGGGAACACGGCGGATTTAGGGTTTAGGGTTTAGGGTTTAGGGTTTAGGGTTTAGGGTTTAGGGTTTAGGGTTTAGGGTTTAGGGACGATAAGGCTAGCTACCATCGAAGATACGCAGAGAGCCTTACCTGCAAGCACCCCATAGTGCAACTGTTTGCGAGCCCTCGACAAGTCCGCTCAGCACCAATCACCTACACGAACCCCAAACCCTAAAACCCTAACTAAAGCCCTAAAGCCCTAAAGCCCTAAACCCTAGACCCAAAAAGAGCGCAGCTGCCAGTGTTTTGGGTTCTGGCGGCCATCAGAATCAGGGTTTAGGGTTTAGGGTTTTAGGGGTTTAGAGTTTTAGGTTTGAGAGTTTTAGGGTTTCAGCGCTTTAGAGTTTACGGTTCTAGGGTTTAGGGTTTTAGGGCTTTAGAGTTTAGGGTTTTAGGGAATCCGGATTTGTGTCAGGCAAAGAACCACGACGGCCCGTTCAAGGCCTTGGATTCGCAGCTGGTCGGGGGACCCGGTGATTTCTTAAGACAGGAGCAGGGTTCGGGTTTAGGGTTTTAGGGTTTCGGGGTTTAGGGTTTAGGGGTTTAGGGTTTAGGCCTGAATAATGACCAATGTTACATTATGGCATTTATGGTGGGGGCTCCATGTTCTACTTATGGTCTAACGTACCCC